AGGATTTAGTTTGTGTCCCCTCTACAATAACTGATGTAAAAACAGGATTTAGTTTGTGTCCCCTCTACAATACAGTGGTTTGCAAAAGAATTCATACCACTTGAACTTTTCCATATTTTGTCACATTACAACCACAAACATAAATATATTTCACTGGAATTTAATGTGAAAGACCAACACAAAGTATACCACTTTGTGTTGGTCTTTCACATTAAATTCCAGTGAAATATATTTATGTTTGTGGTTGTAATGTGACAAAATATGGAAAAGTTCAAGGGGAATGAATACTTTTGCAAACCACTGTAAATACAGAAATACTATTGAAGGTAAGAGTTTTATCACCGTTGAGTTGTGGTGAGAAGCTACCATCTTGAGTTTGGAGGGGGAATTCCAGTTTCAACATTGGTTCTAAAGCAGCATTTGTTTTTATATAAGACAATAAAACATCTTTGAAGCTCTCATGGGCCACAGTTGGTCAATGAGCCTGGTGTAGCTGGTTTTATCCCAAGTGGCCAGCATCATAAGATGGTTTACGCAAAAAAAAGTCACTTATACCAAAAAATTACTTATGTTATTATTTTAGGTGACAATATTTCAACCAGACAATCCTAAACTCCTCTCTGCACAAAACAGTAGCACAGTTTTAATGTTAAATAATTTGGATGCCTAATAACATAGTAAAAAGGTTTTCTGCTCAGACGTCAAAAAACAATTTGCTTTGAATATATGTATGAAAATGTAGTTACTTAACTGTTTAATGCTGTAAAATTATCAGCATTGCTCAGACAGTATTTTAGTTGGTCCATTGTGAATTTGTTGCGACTTTTCAATAATTTGCACAAAATTTCACCTACTTTTACATACAAAGGAAACTTTGTGACAATGTGAAAGTGTTCGACGGACTGTATCTGATTGTGTGGCTCTGTAATCCTTGCAGGCATGCTGAGCGGTGGTGTGTTCCTGCAGAGCTCCCAGTATTTGCTGGCGTGCTGTGGTGGGTCCAGCCCCCCTCCTGTCTTCAGTGAGTTTTCTATGCCTCATCAGCGATGCTTCAGCTGCTCTCTAAACATAAGCAGCGAGGTCTTCCATGCTTTCCACAGCTAATTACTGATGCAATGCCAAAGAGCTAATTCTACGTTCAACTCTGCACGGCTCTATTCATAACCATTCACGGCTCTTTAGGAGGGGGAAAGGGGGAGCGTTGGAAGGGGGTGGCATTTTTATGAGTCCCAAAAGCCCCCTGTTTGAGACTTGCAAACACACATTTACCAGTGCAAATACGTGGAACTGATCATCTTTCTTCTTTGTCATTGTTGTTATAAATTTTTACTGAGTGTTTCAAAGCGTTGCGCTCTCTATTAGGTTTGAGAGCCTTAACATTTAATTTAAAAAAGAACATTTACATTGTTGCCATTTTCTGGAGGTAAACTTGAAGGTACATTTGTGCTTAAGATGTCAGATGTAAGATGTGTTAAGATCAGTCTTTTACTACCGAACTTGCATCATATCGTGCTTCTAAAAATAAGCAAGGATCGAGTCAAACGTTTGTTTTCTTTTGGTGTAGTTCCCCAGCAATTGGAAGTTATTAGTTGCTGCAATTGACAATGGCTGTCAGGAATTGTGGAGAGAGGCCACAAATCAGAAAGCCCTCATCCCACAAGTCCCCGAAGTCTTCTTAGTAGGCTGACACTTTCCCACAGTGCCCGGCAACAAAACAATGCCAATGCTGGCCGTGACCAATGGGCACTTTCACTCCACCATCCACACGCGACCTCACTGCAATTTTTCACTGCACCAATGAACTCCACTAAGCATTAAGGGGAAAAAAAACTCACCCATTCCTCTGCAGAAAAGGGTTGGACAAGGAACATCCCCCCACTCTTTGTGTGGCTAAAGAGCTTGGCTCGCAGACCCCGCCTCTTTTCTCCTGTCCTTCACCTCTCATTCCTGCTCATTGGAAACCTCTTAACTAGAACATAAAGCACTCAATGAAAGTGACTTTTATAGACTTATTTGAGCTCATCTTCACATACAAACTGGCAAGAGAAGAGATTTAGTATTGGGCCACTGATCCATCGAGTAATGGCATTTCCATTGTGTAGCCGTATTGTTGGTGTCCCATCAGGCTCAATAGTTGGTCCAATAGGGTAGACACACACATTACCCAGGAATGACCTGGTAATCAGCTATTTTGGTAAAAGCTATTGAGCTGCAATTGAGAAGTGAGAGGCATGTCCAAACCTGTTTTGTGCTCTCCAGAGGTGGTCTATGTGCAGATTTGTCGTACAGATTAAAAAGGCAAGACTGAAAGGACCAAATAAATTGTTTCACTTGACTTTTGTTGTGTGCGCACCTGTGAATGAGGCAGCTTGGCGATTGGTCTTCACAGATCGCCTAATCCCTTTTTCCAAAAAAAGACATTTGACTTGGTTTAGTCATCCTCAGTTTGTTAATTTGGACAAACAGAATGAGAGGACTCAAAAATGAGTGATAAATTCAGAAAATAAAACAATTTTGTCATGGATTAGAGGTGGATTATGATAGAGGAACCAAAATGAAGAACAAGGAAGTGGTGGACAGGCAACAGAAGCAAAAGTACAAACAAGTTTAGACAAAATTGAAACAACTCAAGAATTACAGAGGCTTATAACCAACAAGGAAATAAGGAAGAGAAAACCAGAGACTACATTTACTGAGGAAAGCTAATTACTGACAAGCGCAGGTGTGTTGATTGACCAGTAAATTAGAATCAACTGTGTGGCAGTAAACAGAGGGGAAAACTGTTTTAAGTGATACAAAAGCAGGATTCAAGAAAAATGTAAAGTATATGATTACACTTAGAGTGATTAAACAGAAAACCAAATCAGTGCATCCAACATAAAATCCAAATATCAAACTCAAACCAAAAGTTCATTAATACGGAGTAATCAGCAAAATGTGCGAGTGCAGATTAAAACCACAACTTCAAAAAGTTGAGACGTGAAATGTAAATAAAAACACAATGCAGTGATTTACAAACCTCATTAACCCATTTACAAGAGAAATAGTACACACAAAGTGTACCAATTTTAGAAAAAAAAGAAATTTGAACTTTGATGGAAGCAACATCTGAAAAATGTTGGGACAGGGGGACAAAAAGGCTGTAACAGTAAGTAATAGGAATAAACTGCTGGCAGAAATTGGCAGGTTATGGCAGGTTACACTGGTTATGTAGTTAAGAAAAGACTGCACCAATGTAAATGTCAAGTTTAAAAACGCCTTGCTCAGGTGCCCTCAGCGATGTCCTGCGTGACACACAAAAACACAACTATAACTGAGCCTTTACGCTTCTGGAACAGCACCATCAGCACAAAGTCTATACAGGTTACCTATGCTCCTATTTAGATAAATGTCTTTCTTGGTGAAGTGCTTGAATAATTCTGCAAGAAAATTAAAAAGTGTATACTACATCCATTGCAACAACATAGCTTCATAGTCCAGGCGTCTGGATGCTCATTGGTAATCAAATGTGGCCCCTGCCTGCATTACAGACTTCCCATTTTGTGAAAACACACCAACATGAAAATTTTTAAAATCCAGGTCTGTTGAACAGCTAGAAACATCGGACCAAAAATGGGATAACAATCTCCAAAAAAAAACTCAAGCAACTGGTCTCCTCAGTTCCTAAATATGTACAGGTGCTGGTCATAAAATTAGAATATCATGAAAAAGTAGATTTATTTCAGTAATTCCATTTAAAAAGTGAAACTTGTATATTATATTCATACATTACATACAAACTCATATATTTCAAATGTTTA